CCTTCCCTCTTCCTTCTTGAGTTTCCTAATTTGGGGTGAATGACATTTGGACTTAATTTGAAATTCAAATTATCTAAATTTGAAATTCAAAATTTATTTCCTAATTTAGTTCGCCTATTTTAGGAAAGTACTTAATTTAAATCAATTTGAATTTTAAATTCAAATTGGATTTATTTCATCACTTTCCTAACTCATTAAACCAAATTAAGAAGCCTTAAATACTCTCATTAAATGCTCCCCTATTACCTCTTTCCGCCGGCCCCTATAAGGGATTATTTTGATTTATTTCCAAATCTGAGAATTCTTATTTGGCTGAAAACCCCACGTCCCCACCTCATTTAATTCCTTCCCAACTCATATTTTCCCCGGTGGAATTAAATCCCTATTTTCCACCTATGGAATTAAAGCACAAATTAATTCCCTATCCCTCCACGTGAAATCTGGAATTAGAATTATTTTCTTAAGTTAATTATTTCTTTTTGGAAATATTTCAAACTCGCTAAATCTCCTCATAACCGAAATTTTCCCAAGCTCTAATTTATTTCCTAAAACCATAATTGGAATTTCGAAATAAAATTCCCCACGTCCTTCTCAATCCCGCCAGCCCCCTCTCCCTCCCACCCGTCTCCCTCCTCTTTCTCTCATAGCTCCTCTCTTTCCCCAATCCACTATTGATTTTGAGCCCACACCGCTGACCCCTCATAGTGCCCTTCCTTTGCTTATTACCTGCTGAAATTCCTCTCAGATTTTGCGAGAAAAATCTGAAATATTTCAGATTTCCTGAAAGGAATTGTTTCAGATTTTTGGGACGATTTGCTCTTCAAGGCCCTTACGATTCAATCCTCCTTTCCTGTTCTACATCATAGGGTGAATAGCTCTATGATTTCACTAGATTGTTGGAAAGTGGATGACTTGAATAAATAATTAAATATACCATTGCTCACCCTCTGACTCCTTATTACAATAATAAAAAAAATTACAAGAAAGGCTACATTTAAGTAATAAAAGTAAACTTATATAGCAAAGTTTAGCGAGTGTTTGTTATCAAAGAGAAATTAATTTTCTTGCATGCTGATTTTTAAAAAGAAGTTGAATTTCCTGTATGCTTCACTAAGATTTACTGAGCTCTAGTAAATAATTTTGATGCTTGGACGACTTTTCCTAGTTGGTACTAGGGCTGAGTACTCTTTGGCCGAGTAGCTCTGTGACCTTGGGCAAATTCACTTAGCAACTTGAAGTGATTAAACTTGGAAACTTGTGTGGTTTTGCTTAGCCCTTGGGCTGCGTTTGCTCAAATAAATTGCTTTGGATAACTTGAACTCGGCCTACTGAGGTGGGTATGGATCAGCTTTATGTAGAACCTGGTCTAGGTGATATTTGGATGTACATTATGAATCCAGCACCATTCATTCCTCAAGACTGCGGTCTGGTTTTCTCAACTAAGGTCGTTTTTTTTTTCAATTTGTACTCCTGATTATGCATGCCCTAGAGCTGTTGACCAAACTCAACTTTTTTTGTTTGCAATATATTACTTCTACCTATCATACGCTAACTGGAATTCCCAATACTGTACTATTTCGAAAAAGATATTTATTTGCTGAATGCAATCAGCCTGATAGTTAAACTGCAAGAACTTGCATATAGTTCTAAATACTGTAAATGAATTATCTTCTGCACATTTCCCATGTTTTGTTTCTGATGCCTTTTTTTTTAATGCAGTTTTTCGTTGGTGGCAATTGGAAATGTGTAAGTATAACCCACTTATTATCGTGTCATTTCTTCCATCGTGTAGAGTGGTTCTCCTTGCTTAGTATTATGGTATCACTGGCTATTGAATCTGGCTAAATTCTACAACGACGTATGATAGGATGTTTGATTTCTATGAAGAAATTTAGTAATCTCTGATAGTGAGTTCATGCTTTCCTAAGTAATCATTTCGTCATTAATTTAATTTGCCAATCATATTATTAAGGGACATTTGGCAGAAGACAGCAGGCAGTTTATATGAGTGCTAATTGAGTTCCGAAATTTTTCTTAAACCTATAATGCATAAGAATGCATTTAATTTGAGTGTTGAAGGCTTCTTTGGTTTCCAAAGGCTCCATGATTTGGTTAGTGATACGCCTTGGAAGCAAAAACAACACAATAAACAAGTGGAAGTGCAGGAAGACAAAGATAGGGGTTGATTTTTTATTAACACTTAAACAATAATGAAAGATACAAGTGATATACTATTGGAAAGGCATATCGGATCTCCAATCAACCTAGAGACCGCTAGGAAGCCCTCAAAGAAAAGAACTACATCAAAACCAAAACTTAGTCATAGCATGCCCCTAAAACCCTAGACAACTCCCCTTTAAATGGCTTTAGAACACAATAATATAAATAGAATATTTCTAAACAATTTAAATATAATTTAGAAAACCTTCATAAATAATTAAACATAATTTATGAAACCTTCATAAACAAATAAACATGATTTAGGAAACCTTTCCAAACAAATTAAACATGATTTAGGAAACTTTTCTAAACAAATTAAACATAATTTAGAAAACCTTCTTAAATAATTAAACATAATTTGAAAAATATTTCTAAAACAATTAAACATGATTTAGGAAATATTCCTAACAATTAAACATGATTTATGAAATATTCCTAAACAATTAAACATGATTTAGAAAACCTTCCTAAATAAATTAAACATAGTTTAAGAAACATTCCTAAACAATTAAACATGATTTAAAAAACATTCATAAATAATTAAATAGCTTCTCATTTATTCCTCCTCCTCACATAATAAATAATAGCTTTTTTGGGTCCCACAAGGTAGCTCGCCCCTCGACATATCAATATTCTCCTCCCAAAGAGCCACATTGTCCTCAAGGTGAAACGAAGGAAACTACTGTTGAAGAATATTTTTCCAGTTGCAAAAGTGAATGGGCTAGTGGTTGTAATCTTGGAATGCTTTTCTTTGTTGGATTCATGTGAAACATCTGTAGCATGTTTGCTGATTAAAATTCTATCAACAGTTTGCTTATGTGAAACAATACAAATATTTTATTTCCATTTCTCTTTTATGAAGGATCTCTCAAAACTCGTGTCATCATATAGTTAATGAGTTGGTTTTGATTTCTGAATTAACAAAGTCTCCAATGGTAGGAGAATGTTCAATTATTTTAGAAGAAAAATCATTTCCCTTAAACCCCTTAATAGATTGGATAACTTTTTTTTGTTCTGCACTCAGCTTATCCACCAAGACTTTATGTGAACTTGAAGAATAAAAAAAATCAATTGGTACAAAATTTTTAGTTTTCTCTGAAGTCTCTTCAATATCTTGGCTTATGAAATCTTGATGCTTACAATTTTCTATGCCATTTTTATTTTCTTTTGGGAGATTTGCAGGTGAATCAAGTTTCGCTATTGCAATTTTACCGTCAACATTCAAGGATACTTCAGTTGAATCTTTCTCTACACCAAGACCAATAGTCTTTATCATTTCATCCCCATTAATCTTGCTTGGTGCAACTCTTTGTTCTTCTATCAGCATATCATTTTCGTATTTCCCTTTGTTCCCGACAGAGCCGTCTTAGCTTGATTCTTTAATATATGTTTCATCATCTCCTCAAGATTTCCAAATCTTCCTTACATCACCGAAAAACGCTCTTTCAACGATCCCACATCCGTTTGCAGCTGCCCCACTTCCCTCTCCAACTTTTCTTCCAACACCTCAACTCTTTGTCAGGCTATCAGTCCAAAGAAATTGTTCTTATACCAATTTTATATGCCTTGGAAGCAAAAACAACACATTAAATAAGTAGAAGTGCAGGAAAACAAAGTTAGGGGCTGATTTTTTATTTAATTCTTCAACAATAATGAAAGATACAAGTGATTTACTATTTGAGAGGTAGTTGGCTCACCCAATCAACCTAAACTCTTCTAGGAAACCCTCAAAGAAAAGAACTATAATAAAACAAAAGCTCAGTCATAGCACGCCCCTAAAGTCCTAGACAACTCCCCCTTAAATAGCCCAGAACACAATAACATAAATAAAAACTTCCCAAACAATTTAAATATAATTTAGAAAATCTTCCTAAATAATTAACCATGATTTAAGAAACCATCCTAAACAAATTAACATGATTTAAGAAACCTTTCTAAACAAAGTAAACATAATTTAGGAAACATTCCTAAATAATTAAATAGCTTCTCCTTGATTCCTCCTCCTCACATAATGAATAATAGCTTGTGGGCTCCCTTGACGTATCAGTTAGTTATAACTTCAAATGTGTATCTGTAATCAATTGCAAGCTATAAGAAGACTAAATAGCATACTATACTCAAGCAAATTGCAGATCCAAGCATTTGTGTGTGCTTGGCCACTTTTATTGAAGGATTTGGAAATCTCAATTGTCAATATCCTCGTTTATTTCTATATATATTACTTTAACACTTTGGTTTTTTGCTTCTAGCTTAAGTGAAATTTCAGAATTATGCATAATTATTACTGGAACTGCCATTATTGTATTTTTTAACAGTAACTTCTTTTGATTATTTTCTTCAGAATGGGACTAAAGATTCTATTAGTAAGTTGGTTGCTGACTTGAACAGTGCTACACTTGAAAATGATGTGGGTAAGAGGAGAACTTTCTCCTTGTTACTGTTTCGACTGGCATAATATTTAATTATTGTAGTTATGGATATTTTGTCTGCAAATAAACAAATTTGATTTAATAGAAACTACTTATATTATGAAAAAGGCACCTCAACTCAGGATTGCAGAGCTAGAGCATAATTGCTATCTCGAGAATTTTGGTGAAATTTATGGAAACCACTTGCTTCAGGTTGTTGATATGTACTTTTACCAACTCTCTTTCAACTCTAATTTCATCCAAAATTCCCATGAAAAATAGCATCAATGGTTCTCTTGCCATCAAGTTTTTTTCATATAGATCAGGGATATCTTGGTCAGAAAATATGAGACTTAATGAAGTGTTTTTGGAAGAATGTAATTTTTGATGCATTAAACCCCGATGGAGTTGCCCTGATTTCTCGTGCATGAAATTTAAAATTTTGCACTCCATGAAAAATAAATATTGTATTCAAGAAAAAAAAATTTTTTGAGAGACAGGTTCTGCATTTAATGACTAAATCTAGCAATGCAAACAATGTATCTGGATATTTCTTTCTTCCTGACAATATTTAACCTTTATCATTGTTGCGTCCAGGAGTATTCGCGGCGGTAGAGAAATATAAAGTTTATCGTCTTAGCGTTGTACGAAAATCTGACACGCAATCAGATAAGGAGAGAGGGTCTAGCATTTATGAGACACCAAGATTTTCCCAATCAATATAATTTTGAGATGACATATAAATCATCAACTTATACTGATTATCATCTCCCTCGCCAACTTGCTCATTGTCAATGTTCACTTAATTACCATAGGTAGAGTGAAACTCATCCAAATCTGAACTTTTAGAGTTTCCGTATATTATTTCATATGGTCTCGCTTTTGTCCTTCTTATGGCCACTGATTTCTTAAGTCCAATAATTCCAATTGATGGTGAATGCTAAAGGCCAGGAATTCCAATTTTTGTTGAGTGCTATAGTCTGGGAATTTCAATTGCGGCCAATGTCTACATTTATATGATATGTTTAGTACTAGAGAAGGAAAATAATGAGTAATATAGATTTTGCCAGGAGAAGAGCTAATAGATTTACAAATTTTGATCAAGTTAGATTTATGAATAGTGAAGATAGTAGAATCTTAGTTAAATATGAAAATATCAAAAGAAGATCAATATTAAATTGACAAATTATTAAATGGGAAATTTAAAGAAAATAATTATTTCGAAAGAGTACGACAACTAATATAGTGATGTGTTTAATATATTGATAAAAAAGGAAGTCAACTTAGTTGTTGAAAAATGCATAAAAGGTAAGGCTTTTAGTTCAGATGAGATATGTATTGATGTTTGGAGAGTAATATGGATTATTGTACTGATTTGGTTAGTAGATCATTTCAATAGAATTTTGAAGAATAAAAAGATTCCAAAGATTTGGAGAAGCAATATTTTGGTATCAATATTTTAGAACTAAGGTAATGCTCAAAATAATGCTAAATATAGGGGAATCAGACGTATGAGTCAAACAATGAAGCTATAAGAGTAACGGAAAAGGCCTAGAAAAATTATTTCATATTTAGAAAACTAATTTGACTTCATGCCAAGAAGATTTGCTATAGAAGTCATTTTTGTGTTAAGAGGATTGATGGAGAAGCATAGAGAACAAAAAAATTGTTTTCTCATAATTTTTATTGATTTTAAGAAGCAAGATCAACCATGAGAATTGATTTGGTGTGCTTTACAGAAGAAAGGTGCATCAAAGATGTATTGGCATTATTAAAGATATGTATGATAGAAATCTCTGATCAACGATAGAACAAGATCAGTAAGACAACAAAGAAGATACAAGGTCCGTAGAAAATGCTTCTTTTATGCCTCGGGTATTAGCCAATAGACATTGACTAGTATTAAAAGCGATTGTGGAGTGACGTATGAGACTTCAATTATGATGGATTTATATTAAGGATCTACATTGAGTTCATTTTATTTAAACTGGTTATAGAGATTTTTATAAATAGATATTCAAAGTGAGATATTTTAGTGTATATTTTTTACAGATAATATAGCTTTAATTAATGAGATATTTACTAGAGTAAGTAACAAAATCAGAACAATGGAGGAAATGCTTTGAAGATAAAGTCTCTAGAATCGGTAGAATAAAGATTTATAAATAGATATTCATTAATTTTGTGGGTATAATATAAAAAGTTATCTTTTATATTATTAGGAGACAACGTGATTCTTATATCTGATAGGTTTAAGTTTGTTGGATCAAGATCTTTTATACAAAATAATGATGATATAGATAAAAATATGCATTCTAGAGAAAATGATCTAAATTGTTCTCCGAATATTTGTAAGAGGTCATTTTAGTCCAAGATTATATGAAATATCTAGTGTAGTTAGGGGTTTTAAAATGGGTTTTCGGGCCGGGTTCGTGTCCAACCCGAAACTGACTTGCCTTCAACTGATCTGACTCAGGCCTGAAATGATTAAAAAAAGGGGTCAAATTCAGATCGGATCCAACACCCCTAACCCGAGTCGACCCGACCCAACCTACTAACTTGTTTGAGGGAGAGAGGGTGACCGAGCGCATTGCTCAAGTGATCAAGCAAGTGAGCATAACTGGTTATCAAGCACATAGGTGGTCGAGTGGGCAAGTGGTTGAGCGGGCAAGCGATCTAGTTATCAAGTGGGAAAAGCAGTCGAGTGGGTAGGTGGACGAGCGGTCTAGCGGGCAAGCGGGTGAGCGAGCGCAAGTGGTCTAGCAGGTGAGTGAAAGCGGTGATAATCGGGCAAGCTCGAGCTACTTGAGCAACGAGCCGGTGAGTGGGACAAGCTCGAGTGACAAATGAGTTTAGGTTGATTTCCTGTTCCTTTCGAGTTGACCTTAATCCAACCCGAATTTGCAGTCGGGTCAGAATATGAAACCCGAACTTGAACCGTTATCCAAACAGGTTGACCCGGGCCCGAAATTTTTGGGTCAGGTTTTTGGGTCATGTCAAATATTGACACCCATATATGCAGTCTCTAAACTTCTTAAATAAGAGCTAAAATAATCATACATTAAAAACTAATGAATATTGAAGTTAAAGTTTCTAAATAACATTAAAAATGTGTATATTCTAGGAATATACATATTCGTTTTAAATTTTTTATAAAATCTAATTTTCTACTTACCTTATTTTCTCATGAACCACAACTAACTTCATATAGAATATGAGTGAATTGAGATCATGTTAGATTGTGGAGTGAGATAATTTTTTTATATTAAATAATTAATAGCTTTGAATCTTGATCATTGCTACAATTTTATATTTGCTCACAATTTTTTTGTAAGATGGAAAATTTTGGTGCCTACTTTATTATTTGGAACTCTTTCACATTAAAGATGGCAAATTTTTTGCATGAGTTATGAATTAAAAATCTATGAATTTTAATTTTTGTGTATTTTTAGTGTGCATCTCATTGTAGGTTACATTAATATAACTAGGGACATCAATTTGGGTTGACGGGTTGGGATTAGGTTTACTGACCTAAAGCTGACCTAAGCCAAATATGCTTGAACCAAACTAGTTTAACCCATTTATTATATGGATCATATAATTTTTTTGGATCTACATGACTCGTTTAACCCGAACACAACCCATCTAACTTGACAATAACCCATTTAATTTGAACTTGACCCATTTAACCCTAAATCGAATAGTATTCAGATCAATTTTGAGCTAATTTTGATTTTGCGGGTCAACCATAACATGGCTCAAAATTTTTTAAGGTTAAGATTTCAAACTCGAATTCGACCTGAAATACAATCCAGTCAATCCAAACCAATATTTTTTTGAGTCGGGTTCGCGTTAGATCATCTATTGATGCCCCTCAGTATAAACTAGAGCCTTAATTGACCTATAATGTATTGATATCTTAACTTTATGTTGCATCATCATTTCAACTAAGTTAGGGCATAAAATTGAGGTAAAAAAAGATATTATTTAAACAAAATAAGTAAATAACTGAGTTGTGGTTCTAAACAAACATAAGATAACTATTACTCTAAAGTATATTCCTACATTTGATGAAAGTCAAAACCTTGAGAAAATTTTCAGGCTTAATTGATAATTTGGAATACTTTGTTTAAGTTCATCAATTAATTGATTTCAAAAGTTTTGAATGTGTTAAAGTGAGCTAGGTTTAATCATTTTAGCAAAGTACTGCAAATGTTGCTAAACCCCATGGGCTAGTCTAACAGAAACTTAAATAATATTTGTCATTCAATAAATATATAGATAAATTGTGTGAACAATTTAAGCATTCGAAACAAGTTGAATATAATGTATAAGATTACTATGTTAGGTTTATGGGCTTTGTTGCTAAACATCATTTGCCTCAAAAAATTCTCACCCGACTCTTCTATTAGAGGCCAAGGTTCCGTTTAAATTTTTTAGAAGGTAGATTAGATTGCATATAAGATGCTACCTAGAGATTCACCCTCATTTTACGAGTATGAACTGATTTTAAGTTCCTCATAGACATAAGCCCTTATGATCATTACTCCTGATGAAGAGAGAATTTTTTAGTAAGGCTAATCAATATGGGCTAAATACTTAATATATCACGGGTTAAATGCTTAGCATATGGTACAACGATTTTGTTTTAAGATAGAAAATTCAACATCATTTGTTTAAAGTTTGTAGGGGGGGATAATTTCGAGCTTAATCAAATTCTATTATCTTGGGTTGTAATAGACCCCGGTTTATTTGGTTAGCGAAACTTGTTGACCCAAATCGATTGAATGCTCCTTGTTGATAAACATGATTTGCATTCTCCAAGGGGGACCTGGTAAAGAATGAGGTTAGTGTTTGTTTAAAGAGAATTTTAAATCGACCTTAGCTAACAGAGAGTTATATTCTCTATCAAGTGCATTCTATAATTCAACAATACAATGATTTGGAGCATTAGGGAACATCTAGGTTATGACTGTGATCATAATTTAATGGTGTGTTTTAGC